CGGGGCGAGGAGAGGGCGGGGCGGGGGAGGCTGCGGGAACGGGACCGACCACGACCTTGAAGGCCGAGCACAAGCACACCGCAGGGCGGTGGGGGCTGTTGGGAAAGCGCGCGCTCAAGTGAGTGTTCAGATTAGATGGAACCGCAGAAACGAGGTGTCCACTCGGGTCGTCGGGGCGTGCGTGCGTTTGCTGCTTTTCTTGCACGCGGTGGGGGTGGGGGGAGGGAGAAAACGGCCGTCCCGATTCATGAATCACAGAGAAGCTGAACGGGGCGCAGCCACTCCCGGAGCAGCGCTGGGCGAGCCGCAGGGCGGGGAGGCCTTCCCACCGCAGGACGGGGCACGGGCCTGCGGGCCCAGCGCCATGTTCGTCGGGGGGGCACGGGAGTGCCGTCGGACCAGGAGTGGGGGGCCGAAGCCTGCTGGAGAAGCCTGGGGTGCGGGGGGAACCCGGCCTGCCCCAGCCCACAGCCTTCTGACCAGCAGGCCGGTGGCCGAGGCCGCCTGAGGCCGGAGCCGTGAGACAACCACAGGCCCACGGGCGGCACCGGCCGGTGTGGGCACACCCACCTGTTGAAGGCGGCTTGGCCTGCTGGCCCACGCAGTGGCGGCAGGTGGTGAGACCGGGGTTTGAGAAGCGACCACTGAATCCCAGGCAGCCTTGAGGAGGCGAGGAAGTCGGCCGCACGGTTGTCCCAGTGGCAGAAGGCTCCCCTGTGTGGGGAGGGGCTGCGGGGGAGGGGGGCCAGAGGGACCGGGGTGGGCTGGGGCAGGAGGCCAGAGAGAGCCCGAGGGGGCGGATCCCCACCAGGCCGCAGGCCGCGCAGACCCCGGTCCAACGGGCTCTCGCTCAGAGAGGAACAAGCCCTCCCCGGCTCTGAGCAGAGGAGGGCCCCGTGTGTGTGTGTCCCCGAGGCCCGTGGAAGCTGCCCAGGCAACGGGCCCCGGTTCCTGGGAATGCCTGCCAGCGCCCCCGCGAGGTGCCTGGACCCGACCCCCAGGGCCAGGCCTCCCGCTCCGTGATGCCAGGCGCCTGGGCGACGAGGCTCGCGGACCGCTCAGTCGGGGGGCCCGGGGGGGGCCTTCCCGCCCTCTGTCTGTTACCTGGGGCACACCCGCGGGGCCAACACTTTCCCCCCAAGTCTGACGGCGCGTTGGGGCTCCCCTGGGTGAGGCAGGCCGGTCACCTGCTTGGCTCTTCCCCTTTCTTGACTGGCGCTCGGAACCCTAGGTTGGTCTGCCGTCCTCAGCCGCAGGCAGCCGGCGAGTGCTCCGTCTGACGGACGTCACAGACCGGTGGTCTGACCGCAGCCGCCGGCCCTGCCCGCCGTCCTCACACACCTGCGGCCCTCGCATCTTCCTCGGCCTGTGCGGGCACCTCTGGTGCGTTTCTGAGTCTTCCCGGCTCGACACCACGAGTCCCCGACGGCTTCCCGGCTTTGCAGGAGGAGGCGCTCCGGGCTCGTCCTGTACGTGTCCGGCCCCGACCCTGAGCCGGTGCTTCTCCCGGGAGGGGCCCCACCCCGCCCGGACACCGAGGTGCTGTCACCGGGCCACTTGGCGTGGCTGGTCTCTTTGGCAGTCAGGGCCAGGTGGCATGGCGTTCGGGAGAGAGCGCATCGGGAGTTCACGCCGATGTTTGCCGCGAGCGCGGAGCGCCGGGGGCTCCCCTGGCCCCCTGACTTCCTGTGCGCACCTCTGTCCTCCCCGGCGGAGACGTAACCGTCTGTCTGCCCCGGCCCCCCCCTCCAGTTCCGGAACAACAATAGCGATGCTGTTACTAAAATGTGACTACAGTTCATACTGTTCAGCCTTTTTTTTTTCCTCCTTTTTTGGCCCTTGGAGCGTGGCTCACTCGGGGTGCCCGGCCACGCTGGGTGTCTAAACCTCTCTGAAACGGTTCCTGCCTGCAGGTGAAGCCAGCAGAGCGATACACAATTGGGGGCTTTTGTCGGGTTTTGCTGTAGATTCTTTAGGGATTTCTCCGGTGTTCATTTTGATCGGCTTCTCTGTCATCACGTAGAGCACTCACAGGAGCCCCGAGTCGGCACGGGCTGGTGCACGCATGGGGGCCTGGCTCGTGCCGCAGCCCGAGCCCTGAACCCCGCTCTCTCCCGCCCACCTCGTGCCACGGGCGAGCTTTCCACCGCCGCTCTGAGTCCAGATTCGGTGTATATCCCAAGATCTCTTCCCCCCGTCCCCCCCCAAAATCCCTATATGAGTTTGGTGCGAGAACACCTTTGAGTAGCTGTTACAGGTGTTTACAAGCGTGTGCGGAAGGCCAATGCGGGCTGCACGTTCGTTAGGAGCGGGACTTGGGGGTCAAGAAAACACACCCGGGGGAGGGCCCTGGTGTCCACCTGCCGGGTCGGCATCGGGGTGGGTGCCCCGGGCAGGTGCCGCTGCAGTGAGCAGGACCCCACCAGCTGGCCGGTGCAAGTGAGAGGCAGCCCGCTCGAGGCCGTGCGGGGCTGGCGTGGCGCTGCAGGGACAGGCCCCCGGCGCAGCTCTCGGGACCGACGGCCGCACGGAGCCCCGGCAGAACGGTGACTCGGGAAACACCCCTGAGTGGGGAGCCGCCGCCACCTCCCCAGCTGTGCCGCTCCTGCTGGGCCCCGCGCAGAAAACACTCGCTCCTGCCTCCAGATCCTGCGGCCAGATGCCACGTTGCCATGGAAACCACACATTCCCCCCGTGGCCTCCTCGAGGACCTGGCTGAGCCCTGGGCCCTCGTCCCCCACACCCACGAGAGTGCACCTCACGGGCCACGGCCGCCAGGGCCACTGGGAGCCTCCTGTTCCCCGCAAGTCAGGCAGGAACGGCAGGGGAAGGGTGGGAAGGACGGTGGGCACCCTCCCGCCAGACACGGGGGGGGGGGCGGGAATGTCATGGTGACACTGTCCTATGTGCGAAGACTCTAGGGAGCTTGTCATATGCCTCGCAGTCACTTTTAAAGGAGGAGTCAGCCCTTTCCGAGTGCCCGGGCTGCGCACTGGCCTCATGGCCGAGCTGCAGACGGGCGGGCCGCCCCAGGCCCCGCTCCCAGAAAGCCCTGTGGCGCCCGTCGCCAGCGGGAGAGGCAGACACGGGACAGGCGTGGGCTGTCTGCGCCCCGGGTCGTGGGGGAGGGTGGTCACCCCGCTCGTTTAGGCTGGGCTGGCGACGGGGGTCTGGGTCCGGGGTCTCCCCCACCTAGCGAGCCGTGCAGTCGGGGAAAGGCCGGCCATGGCGGCTGTGAGCGGACGGAGAGGCTCGCTGGACACGCAGGCTGTCTGCGCCGGCCCGGGAAGGGCCGGGCCCCGGGGTGGAGGTGGGGGCAGGGGGCAGGACCACAGGGGAGAACGCTCTTCTCGCTTTCTTTTTGTTCTTAAAGTTTTAAGTTTAGGACATTAAAGAAAGGGACGTCCAGAAGTGATTTTGCTGCGCTGGGTACACGGGGCCTTCCCTGGGGGGGGGGGGGCAGGGGGAGTGGGGAGAGGGGCGGTGCATGCAGGCCAGCGGGGCGGGCGCGGCGACTCCAGAGGACCCGTAAGTCAGAGGGTCGCAAGACCGAGGGTCAGGAAGAATCTAGAAACAATCGGCTCCGTTACGCAGCCGCGTCTATGTGAGGGCCTGCCCCCAGGCCCTCCTCTCGCCAGACCGCTGGGGAGGCGTCCCCTCGAGCGGCCAGGGGCCCCGCAGGCCGCCCTCGAGGGTCCTAGCGCCCAGTCCCGCCCGCAGGCCAGAGAGCGGCCAGGCCCAGCGCTCTGCCGGCCCGGAGTTCAACTTCAACAAAAAGGGCCCGTCCCGCCCTTGATCTCGCGGCTGGGCTGACAGCACGGCCTGGCTGGGGCCTCACCGAGCCGGGGCCACCTGGGAATAGGTTCAAAGGCACGGAGGCCGTAAACCACCTCCAGGCCCCGAGCCAGAGCGGACGGGGAACAAAGAGCCCCCCCCAACCACTTCAAACGGCCCGCGCGCGGCGTCCAGATGGCGCGGGCCGGCCGGGGTCCGCGGCGTTGCCCGCCGAGGCCGGGGCCCGGAGCTCCCGCCGCCCTGCGCCTTCCCGCCCTGCGCGGCTGTCTGTGGGTGCCCGGCGAGGGGGAGGCCGCGCAGCTGCCCAGCACGCCCTCCGTCCACTGCCGACTGACAAAGCGAAGGGGAGCGCGGAGGCCGGGGCCCAGCACCGCGGGCCTGGCGGGCGCCCTCAGCCCGCGGCCTGCACCCAGGGCAGGACCACGCAGGTGGGTGCGGCGGCCCCGACACCTCCCGCAGAGGCTCGCGGTGGCGCTGAACGTTTAAGGCAGGAGGAGGAGGAGGGTCTGCAAAGGGGTTGGCGCCACAGTTCCCCGACCAGCTGTGGTGAGAGACATCCCCCCGCCGGGCCTGGGCAGAGCAGGCGGAGACTCCGAGGGTCCTCGCCTGACGTGCTTGGGGAGCGGCGTCTCCAAGGGCACCCGAGCGTCCCCGCACCCTTGGTGGGGGCTCAGGAGTCCCTGTCCGCGCTAGTCCCCGGCCCAGGCGGATCGTCTGGCCACGGCACATACTCGCTGCGCGCCCAGGGGCAGCCGAGGTGCACCCAGGCCCCGGTCCCCGGAGGCTCCGCGCGGTGTCCTCACCTCCTGGGAGCGCATCGAGGGTGCGAGTCGCCGCCGGTGCCCTACGCGCCCTGCAAGAAATCCCGCAGCCCGGCGGGGGCGGGGGCGGGCATCTCCGCGTCAGGAAGCAGACAAAGCGGGGTCGGCGGAGCCCCGGGGAGCGGAGCGGCCGGAGAGTGGCCAGAGCCCGGGGCCGAGGCGCGGGCAGCGCGCGGGGTCCAGGCCTGCGAGGTGCCCGCCGCACTCGGGGCCGGAGGGGGAGGCAAAACTGAAAGTGCCGCGCCGGGGGGCGGGGGCGGCGGGCGAGGGCCCCAGGACTCGTCCGGCCCCCGGCCGCGGCGGCCAATCAGCGCTCCGCCCCCGCTCCTGACAACTATTTAGCAACCCAGCCCGGCTAGAGTTTCCAAAAAAGTTAGAATAACTTCCTCTCCCGGAGACCTCGGTTTCGCACAAGCCGGCCTTGAAATCAGAGCCTCTCCAACAGCCCCGGGAGCGTGCGCCCGGTGACCGCGGGCTTGGCCAGCGGCGCGCGCTCGGCGCCCGGCGCCCCCAGCCCCACGCGCGCTGGGGCGGGCGCCATGGAGGAGGGCTCCAGCTCTCCCGTGAGCCCCGTGGACAGCCTGGGCACCAGCGAGGAGGAGCTCGAGCGGCAGCCCAAGCGCTTCGGCCGGAAGCGGCGCTACAGCAAGAAGTCGAGCGAAGATGGCAGCCCGACCCCGGGCAAGCGCGGCAAGAAGGGCAGCCCGAGCGCGCAGTCCTTCGAGGAGCTGCAGAGCCAGCGCATCCTGGCCAACGTGCGCGAGCGCCAGCGCACCCAGTCGCTCAACGAGGCCTTCGCCGCGCTGCGCAAGATCATCCCGACGCTGCCCTCGGACAAGCTCAGCAAGATCCAGACGCTGAAGCTGGCCGCCAGGTACATAGACTTCCTCTACCAGGTCCTGCAGAGCGACGAGATGGACAATAAGATGACCAGCTGCAGCTACGTGGCCCACGAGCGCCTCAGCTACGCCTTCTCCGTGTGGCGCATGGAGGGCGCGTGGTCCATGTCCGCCTCCCACTAGCGCCGCGCCGCCCACGCCCGGACCGGCGCTCCAGGGTAGGTGCCGAGCGCGCGCAGGGGCCTCGCGCCGCCGGGGGCGGGGACGGGGCCCGCGCGTTCCTCCTACGGAGGCTGAACTGGCCTCGGCGGCGTCGTGGGGTGCACTTTCCCTCGGCAACGGATGGAGATCGGCTGGGGAGGTCCCACGTCCCAGGGGCACCCCCGGGTCCTTTCACAAGCTTCCGTGTGGGGTGTCAGTAGGGTAAAGGCAGGTCGGTGGCAGTCGGATTTTCCATTCTTGGTGCCCCGTGGGGGCCCCTGTGGGCGACTTTTGAGGGAATAAGCATCAGAAGAACCGACTGGGGCCCGCCGTTCAGGGTCAGAGAGGTGCGGACCAGCCGCCCCTTGCGTCCCCCGTGGCGGCAGCCGGCCCGGAAGCCGCCCGCGCCGGGTCCTGCTGGGCGGTGGCCCCGCATCTTCTCGGGGAACGAGCACCCGGTTCTGCCCGGCAGCTCCTGCGGGGCGTCCTGGCCCGTGCGGCGGCCCGTCCCGTGGGCCCCGGGGTGCGCGCCGCGAGCGCCCAGGTCTGCCTGGGGAGGGCAGGAGGACAGTGCCCGGTGCCGGCGGCTCCGGGGCCGGTGCAGCGCGGGAGCCGGGGCGGCCCCGCAGCGGAGCGCAGGGGAACTGCGGAGGCCGGCGCGCGCGATCGCAGCGCGGAGGCCGGGAACCCTGGCTGCCCGTGGGCAGGCGGAACCGACCTCCGAGGCGCCGGGAGCCTCTGGTCCCCGCCTTGAACCTGGACAGTCGGACGAGGGGCTCCTCCCGCGCCGCGTCGCGGCCTCTCGCACCGCGGGGAAGGGCCCGGGGTCCAGGCTGGGAAACAGGTTCGGAGGGAGCGGGAGCGGGAGCGGCTGCTGGCCGGTCCGCGGGCGCAGGCGGAGGGACACGGCGGCCGGCAGCCCTGGGAGCGCGGCTGCCTCCGCGAGAACGTCCGCGGCTCCCCGCCCCGGCGCCGGGTCCCAGACGCTCGTCCCGTCCCTTGGAAGTCCCTTCGGAGGGGCTCCAGCCACCCGGGCGCCTCCTTTCCAGAAGGCTCCGCGGGGCAGCGCTCCCGCGGGCGCTGGACGGGCGCAAGATTTATGGGGGGGGGGGGATGTTAAAAAGTCCTCCCCACTCAGTGCGTTTAGTTTCTCGCTCCCTCGCCGTGTTTTCCCGCGGAGTCTCCGCGCAGCGCGGCAGGAGTTTAGATTACTCAGCAGCCCGCGGCCGCCCACGGTCCCGGCGGACCCCTTCCTTTTCCACGCGGTTCCAGAGCTGGACGTGTTTTCGTTGTGCCCGCGGAGAGCTGACCTAGCACCGGTGGGTTTTGTCTTTTCATTTTCATTTTCATTTTTATTTTTATTGCCGTGCCACTGAGAATTCTCCCGGCGAAACCGCCCTCTAAAGTAGGGATCGGCGACGCAGACCCCGAACAAAGAAAGAATTTTAGCCGAGAGTAACTTAGGGGGATCTTCTCCTGTCTTTGTCAAAAGCAGATGGAACGCGTCTCGACCACATCTTTCTCTGGGGGAGAGGGTTTGGACGGGCTGAGCACCGCTGTGCTGCCGTGGGGTGGATCGTCCATGAACTCTGGGTCCCGCTGCCCAAACCACGAGCTGGTCCCATCAGTCAGTCCCACCCCCCACCCCCCACCCCCCGCCGGAGCACCCCGGTTTTCGGCACCTCTGAAAGGAGAGCAGACAGAGGAGGGGCGTCCTCTTTTAAAAATATACGCACACAGCTTCGCGCAGGGAACACGCCAACAAAGTTATCACTGAGATTTTCCTCGAGAAAATGATCGAAAACAAATACCAGGAGATATGACTCCGTGCAGAACTTAGTAAGGTCATCTACAATTCATTAGAAAACAATGGCACAGCTAAAACTGCGAGAATCAGACAGAGGCCACAGTGGGAGAGGATACAAAAATAAAACGTCAGGCTTGTAATACGTGAATGATGGGTCAGAGAGTTTGTGATGGACAAAACCCTTTAATGGTAGCAGGTAATGCATTCATTCAGCTGGAGAGCCCGTGATCTCTAGGGGGCCCATTTATTTTTATTTTTTTTATATAAAATTGTATCTAGTTAACTGGCTCCAGTAAACAAGTTTCTTTGAGGAGATAGATGGTTGCTCTGCCCGGGCAGGGAGGAGATAGATGGTTGCTCTGCCCGGGCAGGGAGGCGAGGGGGTGTTCCCGACGCAGGCACAGCCGGGGCACCCCTCCTGTTTGCCCGGGAGGCGCGCCCTGGGTGTCCTGTCTGCTCTGAGTGTCAACGCGACCAGCACGGGTTGTATTTCCTGCTAAAACGTTGCTAAATGGCATTTGTTATTTATTTGTTGACACGTTAGCAAATGGGTAGCATGTTAAAGAAACGTTAGTTACATGTTTCAGCAGAGAATTGCTAGACCTTTCAGGAAAGGGTGTGTGATTTTACTGTCTAACGTGAGAAGTTTGGGTACAATCCCCCCCCCCCAATATATATATGTACACGGAGCTGTGTCTGGGTGAACAGCAGCCACGGTGAAAGAGCCTGACCCTGCCCTTGGAATTAAGGAGAAACACGGGAAATCGTGGGGCCGGTGCTGGTATTTACCCCGAGTCTCCTCTCCGGCCTGGTATTGAAAAGCACAGATAGACGATAAATCAGGGGTCTCCGGACCGTCAGCTGGGCTCCTCCGGTGGAGACACTCTCTGAGGACCTTCCAGCATTTTCATTACACGCCTGGGCTCTGGGGGCAGGATCCCAGGCACCTGGTGTGGAGAGGGGGGAGGGAGGTGACGATCACTTATTGGACCTTTCTTTCCCCCTTTTCCCTGCTTTGTGGTTAAAAAAAAAAATCTCTGACTTCTGCCAAGTCCGCACAGATTTCCAGTGGGTCACCGTGCTCAGCACACGACCTTGTTTTTCTCCCAGGGCTGGAGTGACTTTCAAGCACAGAGCGTGGCCCTCTCAGTACCCAATACGCATGACTTTTTCCTCCCTCCCCAAAATTCGCTTCTTGGGGGTGCTCCTTCGCGGCTGTGATCCGCACGCCAGCTGGTCTCAAAAGAAACTGAATTCCCCATGGAGAGCGGACATGCAGGATCTCGGCAGAGCTTTTGATTGGTCGGGAGCGGCAGGAAAGGCTGAGCTACCTGCACCGTAGGCCGCGTTTCGGGACGAAACGCCCGTCCGTGAGACCGGATGCAGGGAGGTGACCTCAGCATGTGGGTGTCGTCCCCCCCCACGGCCCTCCAAAGCCTGGGGCTCCAGCAGGCCGCGGCGGGGCTGGAGGGGGGCCGGGGCTTGGAAGTGGCGGTGGGAGGTCGGCGGAGCTGGAGTGCTGGGCCCAGCTGCCCTGACAAACGGCACCGCGTCCAGACGGGCCTTGAGCCCAGAAACCCCGAGTTTTCGGCGCCCCCGCGTCGCTGTGTTCCTGAGGCGGCACAGACGCCGGATCCCCGTTGCCTGGCACGAAGCTCGTAAAGTAAACTCTGTGAGCAGAGCCACTATAACTCAGAGTTGTAGTTGAAGTCTAGGTTAAAAAAAAAAACACAACAAATATTTTAGTAAGCCCGTTTTAAAGGCTGAACTTTTATGCCAGTTTTTAAGCTGCGTGTGTCTACGAGTCTAGTCTCTCTGGTGTCTTTAAAGCCCCGTGAAAGTGTGCTGGAATGTCTGTGTGTGTCTGTGTCCCTTCGTGGGGACGGGTGTGTGGGCTGCGTGCAGAAGGGAAGCCGGGGCAAAGCGCTCGCCCGCAGAGCGCGCTCAGGGATGAGGAGGCCGGCGGGAAACCTCGGGCCCCGGGACGGACGTGTTGCTGTAGCCAAGACACAGGAAGCCACGCCGGAGAAGCCGCTTCTCAGAGACGCAGGCAGGGGTGCATTCAGAGTGAAGCCAAGATGAAACACTGAAAACAGAAACTGCTTAGAAAGATCTCCCCGTGGCCCCCGGAGCCCATGCCCGCCCCAGGGCGGTGGAGCGTGTGCGTGCACACACACAGGCGTGCAGCGCTGGTGAACGCAGGGTGCAGCCTGCAGACGGCCTGGGTGCCCGCTTCCCGGCCGCGACACTGCACGGCGGCGGCGAGGTGCTTCCGCTGGGTCTCCCGCTGCTGCTCCCCACAACTTCGTGTGAGTCCACGGGGGTCTCAGCGTAAGTTTAAAAAGTTACCCACAAGAACGAAAATGTTTCTAACTCGAGTGAGTAAATTAGGCCAGGAATTATTATGCGTTATCCTGTAGCAATAAACTACAAATACGCATTTTTGAGCAGAAGTCCGGTCTCCCCTGGTTGCATTGTTGCCCTTCCTTTCGGGTTCCGAGAAATCTCAGCAGCCTGTTTCTTATCTAGAATCAATTAGAGGTGGTTCCTTAAAATTCTTCAGTAGTGGAATCCCAGAACTCTGAGAAAAATACCCATCCATACGTGTATTCCTATACTAAGGAAGAAAATGGTTTTTCAGAGAAAATTTAGGAAGAATCTACCTGAAACTGGCACAGCTGCTTTTAGCTCAGTCTGCACTGACGGGCCCAGGCTTTCCTGCAGGCTGCGGTTTATCAGAACTGCTCACCACGCAGCATGGACTCTGAGGGCTTAGTATTTAAAGTAGTACCCTGTGGGGGGGAGTGGGGTGGGAGATGGGGGGGGGAGAGGGAGAGAGAGAGAGAAGGAAACCCCTCAACTCAGCCTGGTCATTTTAAATCCGCATTTGTTTGTCCTGGGAACATATTTTGTTCTGAGTCCGATGGGTGCGGTTTAGTTTCAGGAAGCGTGCCTCCGTGTCACGTTAGTCCTGGGATGAGATGCCGTGACATGCGACCGAGACCCGGCGTGACTTCCACGCCGAGGGGAGCCGGAGCACCGCGGGGCTTCTCTCCGGCGGTCGCCGACGGCTGTCACGTCGGGAGGAGACCGGACTCAGAAACCGGGAGACCGCCGGGTAACTTTATCCCGGCCCGCGAGGGGCCCTCGGCGGTTAGTTGGAACAGAGTCGCTGGGAATCAGAACAGTGCTTTGCGTGCTCTGAGTGCC